TTATAACATACCTGAGATAATCAACTTATAAAGAGAAAATGTTTATTTTGGTTCATAGTTTTAAGAGTTCCAATTCATGATTAGTTGGCACTGTTGTTTTAGGCCTATGGTGAGGCAGCATATCATGATGAAAGTGCTTGGCAGAGCAAAACCACTTACATTAGAAGTAGGTAGAAAGGAGGGGGAAAAGGAAGGGGCTGGAGTTTCACAATCCCCTTCAGGTATATGCCCCCCAAAATATAATGACCTCATTGTAGGCCCTACCTCTCAATGGCTTTACCACTTCTCAGTAGTGCTGCCCTGGGGACCAAGCCTTTACTATTAGGCCTTTAGAAAGCATTCAAGATCCAAACTAGAGCTTATCCCATACTTTGCTATTTCCTGCTAGGATTTTCAGATATTTTTGGAATTTAGCATCTATTCATTTTTTAAAATTAAAAAAATTAACATGAATTCATGCTTTTTAAAAAAGTAAAAAAATACATAAGGTGAAAAGTTAAAAGCCGGGGCTGAGGATATAGGTCAGCATTTGCCTAGCATGTGTAAGGCCCTGGGTTCAATCCCCAGCACACACACACACACACACACACACAATAAATAAAAAATAAAAAAATTTAAAAAGCTAAAGCTTACCCTACCCCATCTTATTCCTTTCTTCATTGTAAAGCATAGTTAATGGTTTGTTCATTCCATAAACAATTTTCTTGAATAGCATCACTTTGACTTTTTACTTATATAAACAACATCATAGTAATTACACAGTTCCAATATTCTTTGTACTACATCTTCCTGTCTCTATACTACATGTATAGTAATTTCTAGTTGAGTGCCCATAGATATTAAGGTAATAGAGTGAGAGCTGGGTTCTAATTCCAGTTTTGATTCTGGATATGCCTTTATACAATAGTTTTTTGGTACTCATTTTACCCAATTTAAAAAGTAAATGGAAATAATAATACTTATTTCACTGAGTTGTTATGATTATAGGATTTGTGAATATTACTTAAGACAAATGCATATATATGTATCATCTAGAGGGGCCCAGCAGTATAATAGCCATTTAATGGCATCTTCTCAATTTTATACTGTTTTTTACTGCTTATATAATTATTATTTCATGCTGATGAATCATTTACACTACTATCAAAATGTGAATCATTCCAGATGGGAGATCTAATGGAATACACTACTATAAACATTCAAACATATCTCTCTCTCTCTCTTTTTTTTTTTTGCTTCTATTGAATTATTTTCTTAAGATAAAATATCTGTCAAAGCCTGTGCAATTATTTGGGGCTTATTCAAACCTTCTTGGCAGAATTTAGAAAAAATTTGCTACCTCAGTAGTCATAACATGGATATGTTAATATCTATTTTAATTCATACTTTATTACATCCTTCCAAGCATATTTATTCAAATGTTTGCTGTTATTTGCTCTTTTTCATTTATTCTACAGATTCTTAGTTTATTTAGCATATGGCTGTGTCCCTATTCTAGAGACTGGGATATAGCAGTAAATAAAACTGACAAAAATCCCCTTGTGGGAATGATTGTGTATACAGATCTATTAAAACTATAGTTTTGGGCTGGGTTGCAGCTCAGTGGTAAAGCGCATGCCTCATATGTGTGAGGCACTGGAGTTTGATTCTCAGCACTGCATATAAATAAATAAGTAAAATAAAGATCCATCAATAACTAAAAAATATTTTAAAAAATCTATAGTCTCTTAGGTACTATATCAACTAGGGCTTTTCAAACTAGCTTAAGCAAACTTTGAGAGTATTTGACCTTTCATTTGTAGAGGATGGGTAGAAGTAGGCACAGCCATGTCAACATTATCTTCCTGGGGAAGCAATTTACTCGAAGATTTAAATAAGAAAGTGAATTAGTAAGATCTTTTTTAAAAATTTCTTTGGCTGTGCTTGAGATAGAACCCAGGCCCTCATGCACATCAAGCAGGCGCTCTACCACTGATACATATATAAAAATGTCATTATATTTATCATAGAGTAGAAAAAAATTTTTATATGAGTTCTTTAAAGGTAAAACAGTTTTCAAAGAAATTTCCAACACTTGCCTTTAGCACCTGTTTCCCTTTGATAATCAGTTCTCTCTATGCCTTGAAGGTAAGATCAGTGGGAAGTCTTGAAAGTCATTAATAGACTAGTCAAAACCAATTTTTAGTTGAGTAAAAGTAAGAAAGAATGTCCCTTAATGCATTTCCAGGTTTTGGTGATTACAAATAAAGTCACCATAAACTTTTTCAAAGTGTCTGAACCATTTGCATTCCTATTAGCAATGCATGACAGATATATTTGTTTCAGCAAATTTCATATTCACCAATACTTATATAGTCAGTTTCTTATTCTAAAATATATGTATCTCATTGTGGTTTCAATTTGCATTTTTCTCATGATTTAATGAGGTGAAGTATATTTTCATGTGCTTGTCACTTATATATCCTCTTTGGTGAAGTATTTGTTTAAATCTTTTGCCTACTTTTTCAGTTGCTTCTCTTTTCTCATGCTTGAGTTTTTTTTGTTTTTTGTTTTTTTTTTTTTTTTTTTTTTTGGTACCTGGGATGAACTCAGGGGCCCTCTGAGTTGCTTAGCACTTCACTTTTGCTGAGGCTGGCTTTGAACTCCTCATCCTCCTGCCTCAGCCTCCCAAGCCACTGGGAATACAGGTGAGCACCACCCTGCTTGGCTCATGCTTGAGTTTTGAGAGTTCTTTATGTACTCTGAATAAAACTTTTAAGTATGTGTCATGTTACAGAAAAACCCCAATTCATAAATGAGACATTTGAGAATGTTTAGTTAGGTGACTATGAACTAATTCCACTGTCTTGAGTTTTATAACTGATTTAAATGATTTTTCAACGTTTATGTGAGAGATTGTTTTCTCTATCTGTAAAATGAGGGGAAGTTTTACTGTCAAATCAAAAATACTTGTCTGAAAGCTCGATAAAGATATTCTGTATATTAAAAAAAAATGACTAGCCCAAAACACAGCAGAGGCTCTGCTTTCGGTTAGAATGCAAGCAGAGAAATGTACCACCCAGGAATAAACATGAAAACACTGAATCCAAATGACATTTGGAATCTAATGAAATTTAGAAACTGATTTCTAAATTAGTTTAAGTGACTCAGCAACCCTGTATGGAAAGAATTGAAAGAAAATCTGCTTTACCTTCCCATAATATATACCTTGAAAAAAAGGAACTATAGAAAAGATCTGTTTGACAGTGAAGCATGCAAGCTCCTTTTAATTCATATTTGCACCTGCATCTCTGATTTGCAAAAGATGTGTAAATTTCAAAACAGAAAAATGTCAAGTTTGTTACAATATGAACATGTGGTTCAGTGCTCTATGCAGTAGAGCATGTTGCCTTGCAAATTTGGATTCTTAACTGGTTCTGATCGTTACTGTAGTTAATCTACTTGAACTGAGCAATTCTTAGTTTAAACTGGACCTAAAATCTCTAGTAGCTGCAACTGCTTGAAGCTCCTCTGGTACAGTACGCCCTTCCTCCCGACTCTCATGCAAAAGGTCACCTTCTAAGATTGACTAATGTACTCATTTGTGTGGGCGAAATTTCCAGTCCACTCCTATCTTCCTGAATAGTTCTCCAGGCTCAGAACTCCTCCACCGCACAAATCAGTTATTTCTTGCAGAGCTAGGTACAGGATTAACCACCTCGAGGACCAGCAGCAGGCATGGATCATTTCCTTTTCCCGCTACAAAGCACGTCTCCAGCTAAAAATGTTTTTCATTTGTAACATTTCTGTTAATTCTTGAGGAAAATAAGTTATAGTTCGTTTCCTGCCACAGAATCTTCCCCTGTTTCATAGCTATGATGTCTGGGTAAAAATAGCTCATTTTTTTGCTTAAAAAATAACGGCTGGGGCTGGGGTTGTGGCTCAGTGGTAGAGTGCTCACCTAGCCATGTGAGGCAGAAGTTCGATCCTCAGCACCACATAAAAATAAACAAAAATAATAGCAGACGGAGTTTAAAATAAAAAAAAATAATAACGACTGCGCAAATTTTATAGTTAGATTTGTTTCAAATACGAAGACCGCGCCTCCTAACTAGTAAGGCGGGATATACCCAAGGAGTGAGGGACTGTGGTGGAGAGAAGCCTGCAGAGACGTTCGCCTGTCAGGCCCAGGGTCCGCCCAAACCCCAAGGGCAAGGTCCGCCTCACCCCGGGAAGTTTGGGGCGGCGGGATCAGTCCAGCTGCGGCTTCCGGACCTGCTTCTCTGAGAGAGCAAGAACTCGCTTTCCCAGCAGGCCCCGCGCGGGCCCGGCGACCTGCCTCCTCGTGGTGCGGCTCTCGGCGCGTTCCGGGTCCTGTCACAGCGCAGCCCGCGAGCCCCGCCTGCGGCCCTTCCCCCTGGCTCCACGCTCCTTCCCCGACTCCCGCGAGTTCCAGTCCCAGCTTCCAGCTCCCCAACCCCGCCCTCAGTCGCGCGCGCGCTCCCCGCCCCGCCCCCGCCCCCCCGCGTGCAGCCGTCACAGCCAATGAGGTTTAGGGCCGCGTGCGCAGATTCAAACGGCGGCTCTTGAGGGAGGCTGGGCGCGAGATTCGGCGGTGCGGACAAAACCCTGCAGGAGGCTGCGAGCGCTGCAGAGCTGCTCACTGCGGGGAGAGGGCGGGGGTCGGCGCCCGCGCCGGAGCCGCGCCTGGACCGCAGCGAGGAGGCTGAGAAGCGGCGGGAGGGGCCAGCGGAGGGCGGGAGCGCGCCTCCTGACATGTTGGGGGTATCCCTGAACGGGCCGGGCCGGGGCTAGGAGCGGCGCCCGGGCCGGGGGCGGGTCGCGGTCCGCCCCTCTGTCCCTCCGTCCTGTCCTGCCGAGGACCTTCGTTCCGCACTCGGCCGCCTCGGGGAAAGAGCGAGGGAAGAGGCGGGAGGGTCGGGGAGAAGGAGCATTCGCCTGAGGCTGGAGGAGGCTGACCTGCGTCCCCGCCCAGCCCGCGCCTATGCGGTACTTGAAGGATGGCGAAGAGGTCGCGCAGGTGGGTGACATCCCTTTCGCCCAGGCCTATCGGCACAGTCTCCGTTCCGATTCTCTTTCTTTTCTGGTTGTCCCCACACCAGACCCTCCCCAGTCGGAGCAGAGGTTTTCCTTTTCGCTGCCATACAGCGTATTCATCCCCGTTGGCTGAAGCGCAGCCGCGACGTGTGGAGAGTGGGGGACTAGTGTGTTTAAGACGCAGAAAGTAACACATACTCAGGTTGCTCCTTTGAGTTGATTGTTCCCATAGCGCACGTCTAGATTCCTAATCTCTCACATTCACTTCTTGGAGGGAGGTTTCTTCCCAGGTAAGTCTGTGCACTCTTGGGGAATATTCTACGCAGGTAAAAGTGGTTGTGTCCTGCTGGATGACTTGAAAAAGGGGTTCTCTTTTCTGAATTACAGTGCCAGTTAAAACAGGAATTCCGTGACAAACCAGGGCGGGCATCCCTCTGCCAACTTTGCTACCTTGAAAGGTTATGGAAAATCCTCTGAGGAATAGCTGAGGAAAGAGTCTTTTTGATCTTTTCTGTTATTACCATTCTCATGTTCTGAGCATTATGTATATATTCTTAATATCGTCTGCTGGGAGATGTCACACTGTTACTACCAGGAGCTTGGTCTTAAAACAATGTGTTTTATACACTTAATGTTTTGAGTGTCCATGTTTGATTCTTACTTTACCTAGGTGTTGCACAGAGGTGTAGGGCACATCTTTTTTTTGGGGGGGGGTGTTGAAACATGTGCTAGACTGAATGTATGCATTTAAGTCTTATTTATATACTAAGAAGTAGTTACTCCTGAATTGGAGTAATCCCTGAAATCAGAAAAATCTGAAGTGCCTTTTCAGTATTATAAATAAACCTGAAAAAATGTTTGGCAGAATTTCCAAATATTGTTATTTATTTATATCCAGAGACTCAGTCTTATCTAGAGTTGTGTTTCCTGAAATTTAGTACCAGGAATCATTTATAGAAGATTTGAGTTAAAATTGGCAATAACTACACAAGTTCTTTGTTTTATTAATATATTAAGCATCTGCTGTAAGATGGTTCTGCAGAAATCAGCACAAAATATGTTATTATTAGCTTATTATTTATACTGCAGTATAAGACAAACCCTTGAGGTGGAACAAATGTGTACACACACACACACACCCCTAATCCCTTTATGAAGAGCTTCTCAACCATGGCACTATTGACATTTTGGGTCGAATGATTTTTTGTAGTGGGATGTTCAGCAGCATCCTTGTCCTCTGGTCAATAGAAACCCAAAATGCCCCACTTCTCACAGCCATGACAATCAAAAGTGCCTCTGGACATTGCTAAATGTCTTTTTTTTTTTTTTTTTTTGATGGTGGGAGAGGGTAAAATCATTAGGTTAGAACTACTAGTCCAGAAATTCAAGAACTCAATTAAGCTTTCCATCTTCAGGAGATAGACAAATTGACAGCTCCTATAATTATGTTTGTGGAAGTACCGGCTTAAGCCTTTTGAATTTTTGAATCTAAAAACTATTTAAAAATAACTTTATTATGCAAAGTGAAAGTGAACATGCCAATTACAGAAATTTATTTGTAGATGATGTGTATCATTATCTACTTAACATTGATATTAATCTTATTTGAAACAGTTTCTAGTCTAATTCTGTTATCAGCATTTAGCTAAAGTTATAGACATGTTTAAATATCAAAACCCTCTCCTTCCAGTTGGTTTTTTGTCTTTTCTTCATTTCATAGTTGTGTATGCTCCATAATAGTATACCAGAAGGGAGAAATTATTTAATGGTATCTTGTCTGTATAAATTATTTTCTTTTATTGATAGTATTGTAAGCTTGAGATCTAATTATTGATTGTATTGTTGGCTTTTATTCCTTCTCAGCTGTGTAATTTAATTGAAACATAGAATGATTTATATAGTTATATGTCTGGGATAATTAAGCATGCTGAAATGAAACCCCCCCCCCCCCCGGGGAGTATACAGATAGAGGATGCAGTGAGAAATTATCATCTCTGAATGGTGCATTTCTTGGGTCTTTATAGTTGAGTGAGTTTCATGCTCTAAACTGTATTTCTTATATATGTAATATGATTCTGTGTCTTAGAAGATAATGGAATGTGAAATGTTTTGAAGAAGAAATAATCTGTTCATCAAAGTCCACTCTTTTGGCTAAGAATCTTTTAATATATATGAATTCAATGTATAGTAGAAAGAGAAAGGAAATCAGTTATTTCAAGTTGTACTTTCAGATCTCCAGTATATAACCATTTAAGAATTTGAATGAAAACTATACTTTGTTGTGTAAAAGTTTTTGCATAAGTATAGGCATAAATCCTATAATATACTTTTTCTGTGTGATCTGAAAAAAACACCTAAAAGTAGAAAACCAAATGGTACCTCAAGTGTGAAACAGCTGAAGAATGTTGGCTCTTTTGATCTTTTGTAATAGCTGTAGAATCTGTTATTGAAATTTACATAAAGGAAAAGGCTTGTTTAGTATTGAGACTTAAAATAGTTTTAGATCTCACTGGGGGTTTTAATGACATAATTTACAGGCAACACTAAAATTGGTATATCTATTATTGACTTATCTATTATTTACTTAATTTTTAAGAATATTTCTGCAATAATTTTAGTTTTTTAAAACTAGTTCTACCATTAAAAATAAACTTTAAGAAAATTATGCAAAGGAGCTACTGGGGAATGAAATTAACCAAATCATGTTATGAACATATGTATATATAATAACAAAGCCCACTATTATGTATAATTATAATATACCAATAAAAAGTATCTAAATTTAAAAGATCATTTTTGTAATCCCAACTACTTGGGAGGCTGAAGCAGAAGGATTGTGACTTCAAGGCCAGCTTGGGTAATGTAGTGAGAACCTGTCTAAAAACACACCAACCTACAAAGCCTATTCACTAGTAACATATTATGGTATTTATACTTGAAATGATAAATGAGTATACTAAACTGAAAAGGTGAAAGCCAGCATTTACTTTGCAAGATTTTATTTTTCATTGGTTGTGCATAGCAATTTTTTATGTTATCTGTAGCTAATATGTGGGGGTAAAATTTTAACAAAATATGGGAAATGATTTTTTAATCAGGTGTGCATTAACTGGAGATGTTGCTTTAGGAAAACAGATAAACTTTGCCCTCCATTTTTATCTTTTAATATAGGGAATATGGATTTTATGGTCTATAAGGTGGCCCTTGCTTAAATGTATAATCTATTTTGACAGTCTTTTGTAATAATTTTTTTTCTCATTTAAGGCAGTGCATACTCTAAAAGAATCAAATAGAAATGTTCTTTTGTTTATGGATTGCTAGGCAGAACATTCTTTAGCATTTTAGTTAATTGTTAATTGTCAAAATTTATGTGGGGTCAAATTTGTCTTACTCTAATGTTACTTTGCACAGTCCAGATTTGGAAATAAATATTCATGTATGCAGTACATCACATTAACCACTGGGTGGCCTAATTTCACTTTTAAAATCAACCTGGTAAAATTTTATTCCTTGAATGCAGTGGACTTAAAAGTAAATGCTCAGTTACCATTTCACCAAAAAGTATAATAAAGATATATTGTTTGCTTATGATAAAGATTTCATACCTGAGGCAGTTTGTGATTAAAAATGTGATTGAGGGGCTGGGTTGTAGCTCAGTGGTAAAGTGTTTGCCTAACATGCATGAGGCATTGGGTTTGATCCAAAATGTACTACATAAAAATAAACAAAGGCATTCTGTCCATCTACAACTACAAAAAATTTTTTTAAAAAATGTGATCTAGTTGAAGCAAATTTACTACAGCAGATTCTATGGAACTACTGATATTTCTCTAATTTCAAACCATTAGTTACTTTTTCAATAAAAATAAATTTTGAAAAATTTTCAAATTCTTCCTTTGGCTACCTCATTTTACTGTTTTTTTTTATTTGTGTGTGTATGTATGTGGTATAATTGTTGTCCTTTAAAATCAAACTTCTCCCAAATGTTTTATCTTAATATCATCAACTGAGGATAGTTTGTGTATTATTTCATGGGTAAAGACATGACTACACATCCTATTTGCTTACATTTCTAAGATGTAAAGTTATGCTTAATCATTTTCCTGGCTTGATGTGTTGTAGAATTTTTAATGCTGCTTTTTGTTGTTTCATAATTACCTTGATCACTTTGTTCATTCATAATTTACAAAACTATTTTCATATGAATATAGTAGTTGGTTATATATTAGGCATTTATAGAATAAATATTTTCTTCAACTTAAAAAAAGGAAACTGGCAAAATAATTCAGGAAACCAGGTCTTAGACTGGAGAAATATTTTGCTCTGTGACTGGAGAAATAATTTACCTTCTTTTGCTATCTTGATTAATCCCATTAGCCTAGAAATGGTTCATTTATTTAATTACATAGTAGGTAGCTCAATTTCATTGAATTATATTACCAAAACCTATTACTACAGTACAGAAATGCCAAAAGATGGCATAACAAATAGAAAAATAGAGCAGATATGTTTTGATAATTTCTAACTATTATTGAGCAATGAGACTTTCATTTTTAAATGAATGTTGGTGAGGTTATTTGCAGAGATTTCCATTTTTTTCTTGATATATTATAGGCTTTCTTGGGCATCTTCCTATTGTTGTTAATGATGACACATTTTGGGGATCTTCTGTCACTCTTATTTGAAAGTTATATTCTTTTCAATAATCATTTAATATGTATAGAAATGGGTATGGTTCAATGGTAGAGTGCTTGCCTACCTTGCACAAGGCCCTGAGTTCAATCCCAGCTTCACCGCCCCCCACACACATGCACAATAATAACTTGATGCCAAAACTAAGAAGTAGGTCAGTTAGACTCTAGGAAAGTCCCAGTGGTAGAGAGGTGATTCTAAGAATTCTAATTTAATGTTCCCTCACAGTCACCGACTCAAAAAACCCAGCTTCCTGACACTGAATGGGCTATATAGCTCATTGTCTGAAACTTTTGACCATGTTGAATGTAAAATGTATAAATGAAACCTTATGTAAATGTAGAAATTTCTCACAAAGTATGTGGTTAAAAAATAGGGGGCTGAATTTTAAAGTTAAAATGAACAAGTTTTTAGGAATATTACTCCTTGATCACTGGTCTTTTTGACCAAAGTAACATTTTTGAACACATAGCCTTATGACATTTTGATAAGAACTTTAAGGTGGATTTTGTACAGATTAGATGTGATTTAGATGCTTTTGTGAATATTCAAGACTATGTGGGCAAATTCCCAAATTAAAAATTGTTTTGACTTAGAAATAACCTATTTAAAAAAAAAACACTCAAGTATTCTGTTATGGAAGCTATTTGGATGTGAGGGGAGGGAGGGACAGGAGAACCTGTGACTAGCATGCCTGAGGGTTGTTTGGGGTGTAAGAAAGTGGTAATATTATTGGCATTTCTAGGAAAGATTAGGCAGCATAGGAGACACCCTCAAAGAACTCCTTCTGTACTGAATTTTTAAAAATGTTTGTTTCAGCAGGTTCTGCTTCTTAAAATTCTACCACTTGGAGGTGAATTTGGATTCTGAAAGTCCATTTTAACAAATGGGAATGCCTTCTACCTCCTCCTAGAGGTATTTTAATTTTTTTAAAAAAATTTTCTTTCTCATATCCCCTTTGAAATCACACCTGTATTGAGAAAGATGGAAGTTTTGGTTGGGTTTGAAGGGAATGAGATAATTTTGGAATATGATATAGCATTTGAGGAAGGTGGAAGGATAGGAAGGATTGCTCATTAATCTTACGAATATTTCAATGGCAGGTACTGAGCTTGGTGGTCAGAGGTGAGCATGATAAACATGGCCTCTGTACTCTTGAGTTTACTGTTTGGTTGAGGAGGTTGTGAGAAACATTAATAGAAGAAAGAGTAGATGCTCTGAGTAAACTGTAGTATGGAGCTTTATCTGATTTGGTAGCTTAGAAATTTATGAAGTCATTGGACCCTGAAGCACATCCAAGTTAGCAGTTTGCTCTTGGGTAATGAGGTGACATTTCTGACAGTTGAAGATGGCTGCCAGTAGCAGGTATTTCCTTTAATTAACCGTGTGTTTTTGTTTTGTGCATAGTTAAACAAACAAACATGGAAGAAGGACTGGCAGATTATTGTTAAAAGAAAGATTGGCTTCAGGGAAGAGCACTGGAAAATTAAAGTGCTTTGAGATACAGAAATAGATAAAAAAAAATCATAAATAAGAAAATAGGGGATCTTAATGTTTCCCCTGTTCAGATGTGAATAATTTTGATCCTTATCATGTTAAATGATATCAGGGAGAAGGGGGAGGCTATGGAAAGTTACTGGAGAGTAAAATTGGTCAAATAATGTTACATGCCTGTACCAATGCACCACAATGAAACTCCCACCATTCTATATTATTAATATGCACAACCAACAACAAAAAATTTTGTTCCTTTGGAATTTGAAAAGTCAGAGGAAATTAAAAGTTCCTGCAAAGATCTGTAAACAATTTACATTAAATCTAGGGCTTTATATTTCAATTTTGTAAGACTGAATGTAATATATTTAGATACTAGGCACTCACACGTTCTTAACTATATTACAGTAAGGTTAGACAAATCTTCAAACTTTTGTTGTTTGAAATCAGAATGAATTTTTGGAAAAGAGTTAAATCTAGTAAAGCAAAAATAATTTTGAATTCTGTTAGGTAATCAGATTATGAACATAATATAGGGCCACTTTTCTGTGTCAAGTGTTGAATGAGGTGTTCAATATATTTTCTCATTTAATTTTATCCCTAAAGCAACACTGGATTTATATGCATTTTGCAAATAAGTTTACTAAATTCTTGAGAGGTTAGTATGGTCTGGGTTACAGAAAAGTTAGAACTAAAGCCTTGTTCTGATTTCAAAATGCACTTGAGGTTTGTCTTTAGTATCTTCCAGCTGCCTAGTACTCTTTCCTGTGTTTTCAGTTTGTTATAGAAAAATGGTTATGTAATAGACTTAGAGATCAGCTATACCACATTCAGTGGACAGTCGTTAATAAGTTAACTTTTCTAACTCAAAATTTTATGTTCTGTGAAATGTCAATGATAATAATATTTCCTTTTTCTGGTTGTTGTAGTTTTAAGAGAGTCTCATGGGCTACCACAATGTCTGGTATTTAAAGTTTTAAATAAACCTTAGCTTTATTCAGTCTTCTGGATACTCCTTTAACTTAGTTTATTATAGAAGCTTGCCCTCTCTTTTTTGGCTTTATTCCTTAAAATTCATTTTTTCCCCCACTTCATAAAAACTCAGATTCTGACTTTGGACTCTTCTTCACTATGTTAATTTTCCGTGGGACATCTCATGGCCTCAACTGTTCTTCGTATCTTGCCAATTGCCAATCTGTGTCTCTACTCTAGACCTTGTATCTGAACAGAAGATCCATGTGCTCATTGCCTTTTAGATCTGCTCTACCCAATAGTAAAAGATGAAAAAATTTACATGATCTGAAGAGACACCAGAATATTGCTTGACCCAATAGGATAGGTACTGGCAACATGTGGCTGTTGAGCAATTTTAACTGAATTGCAGTGTACTATAACTACAAAATACCAGATTTTGAAGACTTCAGTTAGCGAAAAGAATGTAATATTTCATTTATAATTTCTATTTTGATGATGTGTTGAAATGATTATGCTTATGATATACTGGGATAGATAATATTTATTAAAATTAATTGCAACCATTTCTCTTAAAAAATATGGGTACTAGAATATTACATATGTGGCTTGCGTTATATTTCTTTGGGGTAGTTATTTTCTAGACGTATCCCCCTGTGTATTTCTCAAGTACCTTGAAAACACCTAATCTAAACTGTAGTTACTTTCTCTCCCTCCTCCCAAAGTCGTATTTCTCCTACCTCTGTTCCCTTCCTTACAAAATAACTCTAGTTATATTCTCAAAGTGAGAAATTTTGTTATATTTGATTCCTCCTCCTTTCATGTCCCTCATAGCCCTAAGTTTCAAAAGTCTTTTATTTCTACATTTAAAATATTTGTCAGTTTCATGTACTTCTTTCCATTTACTATGGTATCTGGATTGGTCACTTTTGTGGATTCTGAATTTTTGACACATTTACCTTTTGCTCAAGAACAAAGTAGAATTCTTCTCTACTTTTTAATAGTACTTTTATGATTTTCATTTTAAAAATGTAAATATTTGTTTAATCTAAATTAATTTTATTGTAAAATAGGACTCTAGTTTTTAAAAATGACTGCCCAGTATTTTGATACCATTTATTGAAAAGTCTGTCTTTATCACATTGATTTGAAATGTTGCTGCTATAGCTTACTGAATTTTATATGGATTTTCTTTTTTGAATGTTCTCCTCTGTTACATTTATGTGTATCTCTATTCATGTGCCAGTACCATTTTTTTTATACTTATTGTTTCTCTACAGTATATTTTTACATATTAGGTAATGCTAATTCTCTTACTATTAATTTTTAGACCTTTCCTTTCTGTATAATAGAATCAGGGGCTGGGGTTGTAGCTTGGCGGTAGAATACTTGCCTAGCATGTGTGAGGCATTGGATTTGATCCTCAGCATGACACATGAATAAATAAAATAAAGGCCCATTGACAACTAATATATATATATATTAAAAATAATAATAGAATTAGTTTGTTTAATGCCTCACCAAAGTCTACTGGTATTTTCATTTATTTTATATTTATAAATTAATTCAGGGAGAATGGACAATCTCTATAATTCTGTTATCCAAGTACGTGGTCTAGATATTTTTCATTTGTTCCATTTTCTGTTTCATAAGAGTGCTTACCCTTTATCATACATTGATTTTATACATTAAGATTATTTCTAGATGTTTAGTCCTTTTGTCATTGATATTAGTAATGGATCACTTCTTCCATTGTGTCTTTGAACTGACTTTGGTTTGTATTTTACCATTCCCATTTGTCAGATGTAATAATTTCTTGCTTGGGTTATTATGAATATTACTAATTGGTGTTCCTTCTATTTCACCACAGTTGTGTCATTAATTTTTTTTCTAAAACACAAGATATTTGTTTTTTCTTCCCCATTAAAGCCATTTAGAGAATAAAGATCAAATAAAGAATAAAGGCCATTTTCTTAGAATGACATATAAAATCATGATTTGGCTCTTGGTGATATATACAGCCTTATCTATTTGGTGTCAGTAAGAATTGTAGCTCTTCCCCATTGTATGACTTAACTTTTTATACTTTAAATAATCTCATTAGGTGTATATTATTTAGTCTGAGTGGCTTCTTCATTCATACCTTCATATACAGGTTCGATGATTGAATTCACTAATTTAAATAAAATTCCTTATTTTAAAAATTGTGTGTTTTTTTTTTTAATAGTGAGGATGAGGATGATGACCTTCAGTATGCTGATCATGATTATGAAGTACCACAACAAAAAGGATTGAAAAAACTCTGGAACAGAGTAAAATGGACGAGAGATGAGGTAGTTATCTGGCAAGATTTCTTAATTTTGTACTTATATGTATAATAAATTAATACTATTGTAGTTATGGAAGATATTTAAAAACAAATGGAAAAGTTGTCCATAACTTGTACATTCTTTTTCTTCTGTCAGAGACATGAATACCTGTATTACTGATATTGGGGCTGACAGAAATAGTATGGAGGAACTTTTATGATAGTTGCTTTAGTCCTACAAATGGTCACCAGCTATGACTTGACAGAATGGAGAGTTGCCTGTGTTCAAAGGTTTAGGAAAAGGATGGTGGAAAGCTTTCTAATTTTTTAATCTGTTTTAATAGGATGATAAGTTGAAGAAATTGGTGGAACAACATGGAACAGATGATTGGACACTAATTGCTAGTCATCTTCAAGTAAGTGAAGTGTTAAATTATATATCTAACATGACTGATTTAGGACATTAGGTTATGTTTGCTATTTTTAAAAAATGTGTCTGCATATTTTATACTTAGGTTTCCTCTCTAAAAATATCCTTATTTTTCTGGTCTGCTTGTAGTTGGTTGCTAATGGCTTAGAGAGTCTGATTTTGTAGTACAGGTTGAGCATCCCTAATCCAAAAATCGGAAATCCAATTTCTTTAAAATCTAAAACTTTTTTGAGTGCCAACATGACACCATAAATAGAAAAATTTTCACACCTGATGTCATGTAATAGGTCACAGTAAAAATGCAGGTACACTAAAAATATTATGTAAAATTTTCTTCTAGTTATGTATAGAAGGTATGTATGAAACATATGTGATTTTGTGTTTAGATTTGAGTCCCATTGCAAGATGTCTCATTATGTATGAGCAAATATTCCAAACAAACAAAAAACCCTAAAGTATTTCTGGTCTCAAGCATTGCAGATAAGGGATACTCAACTTATAAAGATTTGTTCATGGACCAAAAGACTACCAATATAAAACAAAAATAACATGAAGTTTGAGTATTGCTTTATAAATATTCATGATATTATGTTAAGATATTTTTAGAGAATTTAAATATTGAAATATTTTGATAGCTAATTAGTCAAATCAGGAAGAACTTGAAAAGTTTATCATCCAATTCCTAGATTTTAAAGTGTTACTGATTTTTAAAAAAATTATCTTTATTGTTCATCATACTAATATTCACATACTATTTGTTAGTATGTAGTTTTATAACCTACAAAGTATATTTACATATACTTTTATTAACTTCCTAATATACTGTGGGTAGTTGGACAAAATACTCACATTTGAATTGACTACTTTGTTTCAGAAACCACATTATCTGTATTCTTTCTATGTTATCATAATGCCTCTTAACATAACTTGAAAATTGAAATCAAATAATGTAAAGAATAAGTTTTGGAGTTAGTCTGAATTGTGTTCAAATGTTAGCTCTACTTACAAAAATTATTTAATTTCTTTGACCTTCAACTTTCCTATCTATAGTAGGTAGATAATACTACTCATTTCTAAGGTATTATTGTGAGAATTAGAAATAATGTATAAGAAATTCAGTGTAGTTCCTGACATTTACCAGGTGTTCAATAAATGGAAGCTAAATTAGAAAAATTATTTACATTAGCTTTATGTCCTTTAAGTATGTGTGTGCTGCAAGGACATATGAGAATAACCTGATTATTTTGAAGAAAGGAGTAGCCTTAAAATGATATACACATTGATATATACAAGCCATAACTGAAGAAGCTCAGTTTGAAAAAGAGTTATTTGAAGTCCATTGGCACAAAGCCATTGGCAGACAAAATATTTATATCTATCTCATTATATTTTTCCATGTTATCTGTAATCTTGTGTATGAACTAGTAACTTTGTAAACTATGAATCTATAATGAAATATTAGGTATTATTGTTATTTTCCTTATAATACATTATAGTTACTAGGTCATGAGAAGATTAAAATAAGGCTTCATTTATTAATCAATTTTGTGGTTTAAGATGTTTCTACATAAAGTTTTCTCATTCTGGCAGATTCATTTTCCTTTTAAGTGTTAACCAATTTAATTGAAATGTAATGGAGGTCTTCTGTACAGATATATTTAGTGTTTTCATAGTAACTTGGGGATCATTTATAAACATCCTTTTAATGCCAGACAGTAGTAAAGTCATGCCTTTAGGGTTTTTAAAAATTGTTTTATCTAGATTGGGGACTACTATGTTGTTTGAGTTCTTATGTCTGCTTTGTGTAGTTTTCTGCCTCTGGCCTTTTATTCCTCAGTCCTTAATCTATTTCTGTATTAAGAGGATCTTGTGTAATACATGTGTTGTTTGCTGTATTATAAGACATAGTGTAAGATACATACTTTAATTTCAAATATATTGTCTTTATTTGTAATCTAAGTCCTGCTAATTTTAAAAAACAAAATTGGGGTATAGACATGAAAAATAAACATTACATGTCAACTATACTATTTTTGAAGACTTGTTCTTAAGAGCATGAGATATAAGTTTGGATTGACTTGCTTTCTGGAAGACAGTTGTTCAATAATATTTTCCAAATTCTTTTAGAACCGTTCTGATTTTCAGTGCCAACATCGATGGCAGAAAGTTTTAAATCCAGAATTGATAAAGGGTCCTTGGACTAAAGAAGAAGATCAGAGGGTAATGTGTTCATGTTTTTTTATGCTAACCTTATAGATGCACTAGCTTTTTCCCCTCACTAATTGGTAGTTTTAACACATAAAGTATGTATGTAAATCACTTGATTTTGTGCTCTAGAGGCTGTTTGCTAAGAATTGAATGTCAAGTACTTAAAATGTAGTTTTTTTTTTTTCTGAATTGGGTCAAGCCAAATTAATATATATAGCCCTTTGTTTCTGAGAGTTTGAAGAAGGAAAAATGCTTACTATGTGTTTAATTACCTTGTTTAAAGCTTGGTTTAGCAATATTTAGAATGTACTTTCCTGTCAAAATTGATTTACATATTAAAAATATTTTAATTTTATTTTTACATTTAACTTGAATTGTAAGGAAATCATTCTTATTTCTTCCTTTTGACCTTTAATGAACCCCAAAATTAGATATCAGGGCATGATATTTCCAAAGTATTTATAATTTAAAAACCAAGATCATTTGTTGTGCAATACAAGTTGGAGAAGAATAGAAGAATTTTTGACCCTGACTAGGAATTATTTTATGATCTTTAAGTCATGTAAGTTGCTAATATAGTTGGGGAGTTAGTATTCTTACTACTACGTACAACAGTTTTAAAAGTTACTTTACTAGAATCTGATTTCCTTGATAACTGATGGCAAGTTTTAAAATGTGTGACCTTGTTTAAAAATACATTTAATAAATTCAGAATTTTATTTTTTAAAATATAGTAAATAGACACATATAGTGAAAATATTATTATATATTAAATTTAAATATATAAACTATTAATGATGTGATATTTGACAGTGAGGCAAAGTGGTGATGAGGTAAAGTAGTCTAGGAATAACTATTTTTACAATTTTTAGGTAAAATAAAAACAAACTTAAAATGTAGGGAAAATAATGCATAACCTGTATTTTTTTCAGTTTGAGAAAGGAAATGTGAAAAGCCAATAACTATAGTTACTTCCTGCTTCCAAATTGGTTTATTAGACTTTCTGTTTGATTTTTTTTAAGATATAAGAGTAGAAAATATACATGTCTCAATGTCTTTACTATTATTTCCTACTAAGTTTGTATAGAAGCAGTTTTACTTATGAGTCACTTTAATTAGACCTTTGGATTTTAGATAAGTTTGTAATCTGTTTAAACTTGTCAAATACTGAAGAATTTTTATTAATGAATTTATTTTTATAAATTGTTGTTGTAGCTTAAATTGTATGCATTTATTAAGATGTTATTCTTGGGCTGGGATTGTAGCTCAGTGGTAGAGCACTTGCCTAGCATGTGTGAGGACTGGGTTTGATTCTCAGTACCACGTATAAATAAATAAAATAAAGGTCCATTGACAATTAGAAAAAAAGAATAAGAAATTCTTCTTTAAAAAATTCTATTCTTTAAAAGAGAATAAAATCATGGCAGTAAATGGATGGAATTGGAGAATATAATGCTAAGCGAAGCAAGCCAATCCCAAAAGTCCAAAGGCCAAATTCTTTCTTTGATATGAGATGCTGACTTATAATGGTGATGGGAGGAATGGAGGAACTTTAGATAGGACAAAGGGGAGGGTGGGGAAGAGAGGGGGCAAAGGGATAGGAATGATGGTGGAATAGACATCATTGCCCTAAGTACATATATGAAGACATGAATGGTGTGAAAATACTTTGTATACAATCAGTGACTTGAAAAATTGTGCCCTACATGTGTAAAATGAAGTGAATTGCATTCTGCCATCATGTATAACAAATTTTTAGAATAAATAATTTTAAAAGATGCTATTCTTAATGTCTTTTTAAATTTATTTATTTTTATTTTAATTTTTTTTGTGGTGCTGGTGATTGAACCTAGGACTTCATGCATGCTAGGCAAAGTGCCTTACTACTAACAGATACCCCAACCCCAACTGTCTTGAGTTATGTTTTAAAATGCTTTTTTTAAAACTTTGCTTCTTAGGTTATTGAACTGGTTCAGAAATATGGACCAAAAAGGTGGTCTTTAATTGCAAAACATTTAAAAGGAAGAATAGGCAAGCAGTGTAGAGAAAGATGGCATAATCATCTGAATCCTGAAGTAAAGAAATCTTCCTGGACAGAAGAAGAAGACAGGATTATCTACGAAGCACATAAGCGGTTGGGAAATCGTTGGGCAGAAATTGCCAAACTGCTTCCTGGAAGGTGCTTATATAAATGTATATACATGTTTCTGTACTTAAACATGACCTTTATTACTTTACTATTAAATATATTTGCAAGAACCCCATGGCTTTTATTTATAATTAAAATTAGACTACATAATACAAGCATCCATTTGAGATCATTTGTAATAAATTCTGGAGTAAGGAATATTATTATTTTTATAATGAAAATTTATAGCAATAATTTCTACAATAAAATGATAGACATTTAGATTATGTAAACATTTAAGACATTCAAAAAGTCATGTTTACACATCAAGGCAGGCAGATCCTCCTTATACAAACTGTGTTGAAATGGAATCTGAATCAGAGATTTCTTTCATATTGGATACTATGTACAAAACCAAATAATGAATTACAAAAACACTGGCTAAAATAAACTGTTGTGAAAATGTTAGGAAAAATCAGTTTTTAATTAGTTGTTGTATAATTTCAACTGTGGAAATAAGTGTATGTATAAAATGTAAAATATAGCAAATAGAGCAAATGTGTTCCCTCAAAGGCAGTGTGATGTCTTACATTCACTCCACATTGTACTGGTGGGGATGTTTTTTTGTGTAGTCTTTAGTATGGCAGACCAGCAATCTTGGGGCATTTTATACCTCACTCAAAAGATATGCATTTGTTTTTTATTGCTGTAATCTCTATCTATATAGTACTTTTAGTATGTAAAGTGCTTTTACATATATTCTTGATTAATCTTTATATGCTTGGGAATTATGCAAAGCAAACATTACTGTCTTTGTTTTGTAGATAAGGAAATCAAGACAGTGTTAAATTTTTTATCCAGGTTACTAACCCTGGACTAGGAACTTCTGATGTTTTCAGTCTCTTATACATCTATACTTTCTGTAGAACCTAGCTTAGTACCTTTATATGAAGTAGTTTTTCAGTAAATACATTTTTTATGCAGGATGGAATTTATACTACAAATAGCTACAGGTTGAACACTTGCATTTTTATAAAGGGAGCCAGTGAGCTCTTTCTATAAATATTTTGTTCTAAGAAGTGAAAAAAGAATACTAGGATTCTGTAATTTGTGGTTTACTTTTCATGATCATGTTTATTCCTAGTCTTTGCACTCACTATACTCTTTATCTGGAATGCTCTTTTTTTCTTTTTTCATATGGTTGGTCATTTTCATCATTCAGATCTTAGTTTCACTGTTACCTCATACAGGGCTTCTTGGACCACCTCTTCAAAATTACCCATTACCCACTTTTCTCATCCTACTTTAATTATCTACATTGCATTGGTATTTTTTTTAATTTAGTTGTAGATGGACACAATATCTTTATTTATTTTTATGTGGTGCTGAGGATCGAACCCAGTTCCTTACACTCTCAAGGCAATCGCTCCACAACTGAGCTATAGCCCCAGCCCCTGCATTGGTATTTTTCTTATTTTTGGTTTTTCTTTTCTTCCTTCCTTCCCTATGACCACACTTCTAATGAGAACGTAAGTTCAGGAGAGTAGGAACCTTCTTTGTCTTATTCACTGAAGTATTTCTGATGCTTAAAACTGTGCCTGACATATAGACACACCGTTTATCTTTAGAATTTTTAAAGAAATATCTGATTTCATCAGTTGTAGAAATTTGTTTTAAGCTTTTTGTGCAAGTTATACAGTATTAAAATTTGTGGAATCCTTTTTTCCTTTTCAAATTAAACACTTTTATTTCTTAGGACTGATAATTCTATCAAAAATCATTGGAATTCTACTATGCGAAGAAAAGTGGAACAGGAGGGCTACTTACAAGATGGAATAAAATCAGAAAGATCTTCATCAAAACTTCAACACAAACCTTGTGCGACTATGGACCATTTGCAAACCCAGAATCAATTTTACATACCTGTTCAGGCACATATTTTTAATACCTTTATTTTTAAAAAATTTATTTAGTTGATATATGGAAAAGGTGTTTGATTTCTTAATAGGACAAATACAACATATATTAAGGGAGGAGAAAGACATATATTTCCAAACTAAAAATAAAATGTCATAATTTTGACAAATATAGTGTAGTTTCCACTTAAAAAATATTACGCATAATTGTAGTAGTCTTATAGGTGTGTAGAAAATGGTCTAGGGAAAAAAATAGTAAAAAATCATTCAAGCCATCACTTTGGAGGTATAGTAAATAATTTGATGTCTTTAAGCTCTGTTTTCCTCTAATAACCAATGACTTGAGTGATTGTAGTCTTTGTTAGGCAGACTCATTAAAATAGAGATTACCAACTCAAAACAGGGCAAGTTCTGTGTTGTTCCTTGCAGTGCATCCTCCTACCTGCAAGAATTTAGTTTAGGAGTCTTCATAAGGTTTGTTTTACCTTTTCCTATCTATCTGTTAATGCCATTTTTTTTTTGTGATAAACCTAGGTTCTTTTCATGTAAAATATAAAGATTATATCAGAACTTAATAGTATCTACCAAAATATAAAGTAGGTCAAGGTGTTAATCTGTGCTTACTATACCTCAAATTTTATTTTATTGTACATTTTATGGACATTTAAAAAAATTTTTTTTAGTTGTATATGGACTCAATGCCTTTATTTGTTTTTATGTGGTGCTAGGACTGAACCCAGTGCCTCACACTTGCAAGGCAAGTGCTGTAACATTGAGCTACAAATCCAGCCCATGGACATTGTTTTTTAGACATACTGTTAAAAGAACCATTTAAAGTAATGACATTTTTAGTTTACAAATAGGAAAATGTGAAGACAGTATAGTTATCTGCTGATATTGAACMTTAAGGTTTTTATTATCTGTTTCTTTACATTTTTCTTTAGAGTCTTAAATTTTAGTAGCATAAATTTGAAACTTTCTGTTTCTATCTCAGAAATGTTACCATTTATCTCTTTAACATACATAAAGATAATTTTTAAAAATTATTTGGACCCAGGGGGTATTTAGCAGTCTCTATAAAAATTGGAACTATAAGGACATTTATTTTAAGAATTTTTTCCCTTTTAATAATCTTAGATTCATATATTCATAGTTCAATTAGTTTTAAACAATTAAGAGGGTAATTCTAATTTTATTATAAAGTGTACTTAGAGAAAAAATGCAGTGGTTTGAAATACTGTCTCAAATTTTGAAATATTTGAGAAAGAGAAATTTCTAATTCATTGGTGTTACCAAGTGATAAGTGATACTAATTGAGTATCGTAAATGTTCGTTAGTAATGTGTGATTTTTGCAGTAGATGGTGATTTAGGTAGGTCATTATAGAAAGTAGACAATTTCATATTTATATTTGTTTGATTTAAAATATTTTCACCACTACTCAGGTGCAGCTTCATAATTCTTTTTTTATAACTTTTATTTATTTTCATGTGTACTGAGGATCGAACCCCCAGTGCCTCACCCTTGTGAGGCAAACACTGTATCACTGAGCCCCTGTCTCCCTTTTTCTTAACTCCAGCCTCCCCTTTTATTTTTTTGAGAAAAAGGAAAATGAAGGATTATTGCTTTGCTAGCAAAGGAGAAAAACAGGGAACTCCCATCCCAAAGACTGTAATTCTGCCCATCAGCAGAAACAAGGGCTTTTAAAGTGGTGACTTAAAGGCTACATTCCACAAGTTCTCCATTTTAGTTGTAATTCAGTTATTAATTTGGGAGCTAGTCCCCCCTGATAAATTCTGGTACCATCCCCCAAATCTGGATTACTTCCTTTCTATGGTTGGTGTGTACTCTGATACAGATAACTGCCTAGGATGGGGAAGAGATTAGGGAGGAGCAGGGAGAGAGAAAGAGAAAGAAACATGTTAATTTAAGAAATAAATTGTGTGGCAGAACAGCAAGGGTTATATTCAAAGCATAAAGTAGACCACTGTTACATTTCCTCACTGTCAATTTCTACATTCCATTTCTATGGAAAAATGGGCAACAACATCTCTAAACTGCTTCCTGCTGAGAGGGAGCGAAGTTGGAGGAAGTAATCAAAAAGTCCTTGTTCTTTATCAGGTGGGCCATGGACAGTTAAGGGCATTCAGCATCAGAGTAGTCCAGAGGTCCACAGTGGCTGATGGCAGGTGACTGGACAGGGCATACACAGGGCTGGCATCATGCTAAGACAACAAAGGCAGCAAAGCATTATTTTTTGTAAATAATTAGCACAAAAACAATTAGTATTTCAGACAGTCTCTGAAAACCATAAGGACAGTAATTTATAATCTTATCAGTGAAAAACAAGTTCATCAATGTAGCAGGGTAGGAATATTTGTAAGTCTATGAAATCAGACTCAACTCAGGACATTTGGGACTTGTGATCATTATTAGGCACTCTCACACAAGAACCCTTCCTTTATAGCCTCCAGCTTTACTTGTATTATGTTTTAGAAATGAAACAAAATGATGCTCTGAGCATCTATTAAAAGTACATGAGTAATTATTATTTTCCCAAGATAACTAATATAAAACTAGTCTGTTTTCCTTTCTTTCTACTTAGATTGGCATGAAGTGGTATGGGAGGAATTTAGGAGGTAAAAGCATCTTTGTGAAAGCTTTATATGGACTAGTCCCTTCCTCTGATAAATAAAAACAATTTTTTTCCCATGAAATAGAGCAATACTTCTGTAGCAGATTAAAAAAATAATTTGTTGTTTAATGTTGATAATAGATAGATGGATTGATTGATAAAACTAGACTAAGTAATTCTCGTATTTAATCTAGGAGACAGGGGTTTTCCTAGTGTTATGGCTTTCTCTCTAGATTCTAGGAACAGAGATGTAGTTACTAGATAGGAAACTATTGCAGGTTTGAACTTGCAAAATTATTAGAGATGCTTTATAAGTTGTTAATGTTGACATTTTATCAAAACTTTTTGTCATTTGCCTCAGATTTTAAAAAGTTGCATAGTGTTATATGTGTAATAGTAATGCTTTAATTTTTAGATCCCTGGTTATCAGTATGTGTCACCTGAAGGCAATTGTGTAGAACATGTTCAGACTACTTCTGCCTTTATTCAGGTAACTTTTATTTCCTTTTAAAAAATAAAGGAAATGCTTTCAAACATATTTTTAAGTTGAGTAGTGCTTATTTCCTCATCTGTTGAACTAGGATAAAAATGAAACAGTCCTATTTATGTATTGTAATATTGAAAGAGTATGTAAGTGGGTTTGAAAATATAAAGTATACAAATGTAAGATGATGACAGCACTGGTATGGTGATTCATTCTTTCAACTTAAAGCATTCAATCATTTGCTAATAGTATTAATAACTAATAGTATTAATAGAATAGAATATATATTACAATTCAATAAACTAATATATTCCAGACATAAAATTTTCAACTTGTATGGATGATACAGTGTTTTTTTAATACATTCAAATCTTTTCTGCTAATTTTACCAGCACACTTTTAAATACTAGTGGGACTGTGATGTATCTAGTGTCTAGGACTTAGTAATATTAAGCTTTATTAGAGAAAATATATTTTAGTTGTATACAAGAAAATAAAATTAGAACACTACTAATAATAAACCAATTGTGTAAGTAACCTGTTTTTCTCTTTTATTTAACTTGGTTTAGCAACCCTTTGTTGATGAAGATCCTGATAAGGAAAAGAAAATAAAGGAACTTGAGATGCTTCTTATGTCAGCGGAGAATGAAGTTAGAAGAAAGAGACTTCCGTCTGTAAGAAATTAGCTTATTTTATTGTTAGAATGCTTCATAAGTATGTTTTTATAGTTTTTATCAGGTATAAAGCATATTCATTTCTATTTCTGATTTTAATATGGTATAGAAATAATTTTTCTAATTTGCAACTTTGAGGTTGCCTGATTTTGATATGCATTTTTCTGAGTGTATTTTACAGTGTTCTGTATTAGGATATATTTTTAAAAGATATTCTGAGTCATAAATTTCAAGCAGACTTAGGGTAAAATCTTCTCTCTCTATTTGTGACATGTATGTATAATTTAGATTAGGCTTTGGTTTAATATTTATTTATTTATTTATTTGGTATCAGGGATTGAACCCAGGGACGCTTAACCACAGAGCCATGTTCCCAACCCTTTTTATTTTATTTAGAGGCAAGGCCTTGCTAAATTGCTAAGGCTGGCTTTGAATTCATGATCCTCCTGCCTCAGGCTCCTGAGCTGTTGGGATTACAGGAATGTGCCACTGTGCTTGGTTTGAGTTTATTTTAGATATTCCATATAATTATGGTTTCAATAGAAAAAATAGAGCTTGGACATTACATTAATTCTTTTTGAAAAAATTTTCTTACTAACTATTTAGAATATGAATTCAGCAAATTAGAAAAGGTAATAATAAAAATGTGCATAAAGGGAACATAAAAAAATTATGCTCTCAAAAACTTTCAAAAGAAGAAATTTTGTATTAATGTTGATTTGATTACTAGGTATGAAAACTGTTGTCTGAGATATGGTTAATGAGAATAACTGATAGTATTAAACTGGGATAAATAGTGACCATTCTAGTAGAATTAATCAGGCCATGCTAGATGGATTAAGAGAAAAAAAACCAAATTTATACTTCATTAATAATTTTTAAAGTTTAAAGTAATATCTTGAGTCTTTTTGTGTTTAGAAAAGGATTTTATTGACGGAGGGATGAATGAATTGAAAATGACTAGGAATAACCTGAGATCTTGAAATAGTATTATGAGGAAATTGGTAATGTTTTTATATTATTTAAGTGGTTATTTAAAATAATATTTATTAATTGTACTAGGTGAGATATATACTGTAGGAAAAGGAGTTTTTGTTTTGAAACTGCAAAAACTGTGGGCAAATAGGAAGACATGAAGTGTACTTAGTGTTGATTTTTTTTTCTTTTTTTTTTAAGTTACAAATAACAAAGAGTTAACATTTGTAATGATTATATCATGTTAAAAATTTTTTTTTTGGCCGGTGCAGGGTACTGGGGATTGAACTCAGGGACACTCAACCACTGAGCCACATCCCCAGCCCTGTCTTTTTGTATTTTATTTAAGGGTTTCACTGAGTTGCTTAGCGCCTCACCATTGCTGAGGCTGGCTTTGAACTTGTGAAAGCAACTTCCTTCTGTAAGAAATTAGCTTATTTTATTGTTAGAATGCTTTATAAGTATGTTTTTGTAGTTTTTATCAGGTATAAAGCATATTCACTTCTACTTCTGATTTTAATATGATATTAAATATTTTGATATCCTGTCTCAGCCTCCTGAGCAGCTGGGATTACAGGTGTGTGCCACCTCATTGGGCTGTTAAAACCATGTTTAATGGTAATGGTAGTCTTATTTTAACCAGGACAATATAACTAATTAGAAACCAGTAATAATTAGCATCACAATTACATTTTGCATTAAAAAAGGGAGAAAGTTACTAATTTCTTTTAAAACTTGCTATCTAAAATACACTCTCATAAAGATCTGGTTGAATAAGGAAGAATCTTTTGAATTCCAGAGAGGAAGTTGCTGCTGCCAATAGAACAGGCTGCATACACACATTTATTTTAAACAATTATGTGATAACAATGACCATTTAGCTGAGGATCTATTATGTTCCACTCTTGTATCTGTTTTTGTTGTGTATTCTTGGTAATCCTCATTAATTTTGTTAAGTAGCTGAAATGTTTTTGGAGAGTCACATTTAGATTTGTATGATTACAACTCTGTTTGTAGTTTTTTCCTCTTGGCCCAGTGACTTCTCTCTTTATCTTTTGAATCTTTTTCCCACCTGAAAAATCAGTTGAAAGGCCTATCATTTGGAAGCTATCTCCTGAAAGTTATTGTTAATTGAGAAGGTAGCTATGCTAATGAACTAAGGTTGTTTTAATTTGTTTTATATTTAGGAATCTTTAAAATAGATGGAACTTGTTTTGTAACAATGTTTTTTCACCTTATTTAGCTTGAAACAATATTTTGCTACTGTGAATCTTTTTTTTTTTTTTTTGTCCTGGGGATTGAACCTTTTTGAAATATTTTTTTTAGAGACAGCTTCTTGCTAAGTTGCTTAGGACCTCAGCCTCCTGGCCACTGGGATTATAGGTGCACCACCATGCCTGGCTTGCTACTGTGAATCTTTAGCACAGTTTAGCAAATTTTATGTGTAATAGTAATAGGAACCATTTTTTAACCTTCCAAAAATACATTTAATTTCCCATCCCAGTGTAAAGAATAACATACAATCTTTATTATTTATTAATGATATCCAGTTACAAAACATTAAATGATATAAGTAGATCCCCAACTAAATTTGTTATTTTTATATAAATCTGAAGGACACTACTGCTACGACAATTTTAGTTTAGAGGACACCAGCTTAATAAAGTGCTTTCCCACTCTTTATATTTTAAAAGAATTGTATACTTTGAGGACATAAATATATCTAATATACAAAGAAACCAGTAATAATTAGCATCACAATTACATTGATGTCCTTATATTCACTTACTTTTAACTTTTAAAGTAAAATTATAATCCATAGAGTAGGGTAACATCACAAGTCTGCATAGGGTATCAACACTGACAAAAATATCAAAGAGTGGCTTTAAATCTCTTATAAGTTAGGAAACAGTATTAATGATCAGAAATGGACTTATCTGATTATTAATGCATCTCATTTGTATAATAATAAAATATTTATGAACTCAAGGCAAACAGATATAAACCAGGTTTTTTTAAAAATATTTTTTAAAAATATTTTTTAGTTGTTGATTTACCTTTATTTTTTATTTATTTGTATGTGCCTCATACATACTAGGCAAGTGCTCTGCCACTGAGCCACAACCCCAGCCCCCAGGTTTTTTTTTTAATTGGTTCTTTTTGGTTATACATGATAATAGAATTCATTTTGACATTACTTATACAAGCATGAGATATAATTTGTTCTAATTCAGACCCTAGTACTTCCCCTTTTCCTTCCTTCCTCCCATTCTCTGAGGCATTACTTATTGAGTGCCAAGGAAATTTTTACTTTTAATTAAAATTTATAATCCATAGTGTAGGGTAATTAATGACAAGTCTGCATAGGTTAGCAGCACTGACAAAAAAAAATCAAAAGATAGCTTTAAATTTCTTATGAGTTGGAATGGGCAGTGTGCTTTCTACAATATGACAGCCACTAGCCCCAGTTTACTACCCGTATTTTAGTTGCTACTGGTTTCCATATTGAGCAGCTGCAGATGTAGAACATTTTCATCATCTCAGAAAGTTGTGTTGGACATTCCTATATACTTTGCATATTATTTCTCATTCATGAGTCTTCAGAGTCTCTTCTATTTTTTAAAAAATATTTTTAGTTGTAGATGGACATAATACCTTTATTTTGTTTATTTAGTTTTCTTATATGGTGCTGAGGATCAAACCCAATGCCTCACGCATGATAGGCAAGTGCTCTACCACTGAGTCACAACCGCAGCCCTCTTCTAATTTTTTATTATAAAACAATAGGAAGCTAGGCTTACAAAATGAATACATTTTCTAGGGTACATCTCTAAAGAAATAAAGAAAAATGAGTCCCTAATGTCAAAGGATATATTTTGCTGTGGGAACATAGACAAGATATCATATCGATATGATAAAATAAATTGTGAAATGTTATGGGAACACATTGGAGAAGGTTCCTGGAAAAAGTCCTATTTGAGCTTATTCTTGAAAGATGTAATAATTATATATTAGCAAGACCGATGAATTAGGACATTATGGAGCAGATAAAAGTAGGTAATCATAGGAGGACTTCCCAATATTAGAATTGTATCTTCAATGAAGAATAGAAGTTTCCCTGGTCAGTGGGTTAGGGAACATTCTAAATAAAGTGAGCAGAAGTCTGTGTAAAGGCACTCCAGGGCAAAAGAACATTACTCTTTAGGGAGTTGAAAGTACTACAGCTGAGTTCCCTGGGAAGAGGACTTGTAAGAGAAGTATTGGGAAATGATTTAGAAAGGAAGAGAAAGATCAGATTTTAGGGGTCTAGAATTTATGTGATAATATAAATACATGTTTTATCTCACCATGATTTTATGACTAAAAAAATTAAAAAAATATAGTGAAGGTATAGGATTTAATGAAAATAAATCTTATACCAATTTTGAATAAAGAACATATTTGCTACTGTATATTTAGCTAATATGATATGAAGTATATTGTTCTAGAAAAAAATTTTATTTAAAATATGAATAACAAATAATATTCAAATTTCTTTTGTACTTTTAGCAACCTGGAAGCTTTTCTAGCTGGTCCGGTAGTTTCCTCATGGATGATAGCATGTCTAATACTCTAAATAGCCTTGAGGAACATGCTACTGAGTTTTATGGTATGGATGAAAATCAAACTGCATCTGCTCAGCAGAATTCTCCCACGAAGTTCCTAGCTGTAGAGGCAAATGCTGTGCTATCTTCTCTACAGACCATCCCTGAATTTGCAGAAACTTTGGAACTTATTGAATCCGTAAGTTTAAAATTGTGAAATTATCAAAAATTCAATTTTAGATACATGGTTTCATGTTCAGAAATTCAGTTAGTGGTCAATGACCAGTTTTATATTAGGCATTACTTTAAATGTGCCATACTTAATTTTGTTCTATTTTGCAGTATCTTTTGGCAAAATAAATAAGTAAATATTAAGTATGTGTCTTGTAAATATTTTTTATAATTAAATAGAATTCATTTTTATTAAACAAGTTGTACAAGTACATTAGAGAAAGTTAGAAGCTAGAGAAAACTTTAAAGAAGAAAATTAAAATACCCCATATAACTCAAAATTAATCTGATGTACTCCATCAATCTGTTTTGTATATATAGAAAATATATATATATATATGTATGTTTTTTTAATTTTTTTAAATTGTAGTTGGACACAGTACTTTTATTTCACTTATTTATTTTTATGTGGTGCTGAGGATTGAACCCAGGGCCTCGCACGTGCTAGGCGAGCGCTCTACCACTGAGCCACAACCCCAGCCCCTATATGTATGTTTTTAAACCAAAGTACACATATATTTCCATGTTATGTTTCTGTTTCTTTTGTCTTCTATTTATATCATGAGCATGTTTTTATTTTCTAAACTGTTTTTTAAACTTAAATTTTGGTAGGCTTTATAGTATGATGAATATAAGAGATGTATTTACCTAGTATGCTATTATTATTGAACATTTGGGGGGGAATTCTAGATTTTCAATATTACTAATAATAAAAAATTTATATAAAGTTTTGTGCAAAATCATGTCTATGTTTTTAGGTTAAATTGAATTTTTGGATCAAAGTATACATCAAAGTATCAAAGATCACCATTTTTAAGATATTTCATACATATTACCAAATGATTGTTCAGATTTTAATTTTGTTTTCCTGGGAAGTAGAATATGAAATTTTATGATAAATTATACTTTTTGATAATAATTTGAAATAATTTATTCTTTTTATATAAAATACTTTAAACAGTAAATTTCAGCTACTGAATGAGATGAAATAATATTTTAGAATGCTTCAAATTGGTATGATAAGAAAACCATAAAATGAGTTGTACAAGTGCATTAGAGAAAGTTAGAAGCTAGAGAAAACTGTAAAGAGGAAAATTAAAATCCCCCATATAACTCAAAATTAATCTGATGTACTTCATCAATCTGTTTTGTATATATAGAAAATATATATATATTTATGTATTTTTTAAACCAAAGTACACATATATTTCCATGTTATGTTTTGGTTCCATGTTATATTTCTGTTCTTGTTTGATGGTCTTGCTTAAAAAAGATGTCTGAGTAAAGACTGTTTCTACTGATAAAAATGGTTAAGTAACTCAGTGGAAATACCATCCTGTGTCCAAGATCAGATTTAAACTAGGTTACAACATTAACTTTAGTTAAGAATTTAATTTATTGCAGGATCCTGTAGCATGGAGTGATGTTACCAGTTTTGATCTTTCTGATGCTGCTGCTTCTCCTGTCAAGTCTACCCCAGTTAAACTAATGCGAATTCAACACAATGAAGGAGCCATGGAATGTCAATTTAATGTCAGTCTTGTACTTGAAGGGAAAAAAAACAGTTGTAATGGTGGAGACAATGAGGCTGTGGCTTTAACATCCCCAAATGTGGCAAAATTTAGCACTCCACCAACTATACTCAGAAAGAAGAGAAGAATGCGAATAGGTCAGTCCCCAAACAGTGAACTTGGTGATGGCACATTCAACGATGGCGGTAATACAGCACTAAAGCACACACCGGTGAAAACACTACCATTTTCTCCTTCACAGGTAGTAATGTTTTTATTTATGTTTCCAAGTGTTGATGAGCTAGATTAAAGTAGATCTTTAGTATCATTATTAATAATCAGTTGCTTTTTATAAAAACCTTTATTTATTTATTCTTATGTGGTGCTGAGGATTGAACCCAGCGCCTTGATATGCTAGGTAAGCACTGTACTGCTGATCCACAACCCCAGCCCCTAATTAGTTGCTTTGATAACACATAAAAACAGATGTGTTTGATTGTGTACATGAGAGTGCTAAACTCAGATCAGAAAGTGTCTCACAAAGTATAGTAGCTACATTATAGCACCCTACAACTATTAAAGATAAAAGGGATGTTTTCATTGTTTTTTTTTGGGGGGGGTACTGGGGATTGAACTCAAGGGCCCTCAACCATTGAGCCACATCCCAGCTCTATTTTGTATTTTATTTAGAGACAGGGTCTCACAGAGTTGCTTTGTACCTCACTTTTGCTGAGGCTGGCTTTGAACCCCTACCTCAGCCTCCTGAGCTGCTAAGATTACAGGTGTGTGTCACTGTGCCTGGCGACATTTTCTTTATTATGTAGTTCCACATCTGTCTAGGACTCATCAGCCTGGAAACAGAACCAGCCAGAAAGGTAAAATGATTTGCCCAAAGTTATCTAATACAGGCTAAGACTGAGATCCAGTCTGACTCGTTGATCCTTGATTATTTAACAGATATATCCAACAAAAAATAAAGAGATCTCATCTATGTAGAGTAACTTAGGTTTGAGTTTACCTGTTAAGTTTTCCTTCTTAACATTCTTTAGAAGAAAGACAACTGATTACTATAAGAATCTCATGTTAGAAGGTTTTCTAGGATCTCCAGAACTACCTGCTTTCTCCTTTAATGTCCCTGAACAGCAGATGTTTACATTAGGATAAATTCATATTGAATACTTGCTATTCAATAGTTGTGTGCCATCAGCTTTGTTATAGCATCTCAGTTAATCTTTCAAAAAAAAAAAAACTTAGGAGTTGGATAGAATGAAATTTTGAAGTTGAGTCACATGTCCTAGTAAGAGATGGAGCTTTTGCTTGTTGAAAGTGTTTTGACAGAGATTAAAAAGTTCTGCAGGGGAGCCAGGTGTGGTGGTGCATGCCTGTAATCCCAACTACTTGAGATGTCAAGGCAGGAGGATCTTAACTTCAAGGCCAGCCTGAGCAATTTAGACCATGTCTCAAGACAAAAAAAAAAAAAAAAAAAAAAAAAAAGGACTAGCTTAGTGGTAGAGTACCTCCTGGGTTCAATCCCCAGTACTAAAAACAAGTAAACAAAAACAACAATAAACCCTGCCTCAGCCTCCTGAGCTGCTAGGATGCCCCACAAAGTTTTATGGGGCAAGGAGGGAGGTTAGTGGTCAAACAAACATGGAGAATGCTGGGATATTATTGGAAGTATGTTTTGAGGTTGGGAATATGAATAGGATCTGGTAGCACAGAGCTATTGTGATCTCTGAAAATTGTGCCCTCGTACTTTATGGGGCACCATTTACATAGACTATAATGTGAATAGTGCCTCCCTTTACTTCTTCCCCAGCCCTCAGTTAAAGAACATCCCAGGAAAGGGAAAATGGATTTGGGCACACTAGTAGTTTTCCTTTTGTGGAGTTTTGCCTGCTAGCAATTTTTATTGAAGTGTAAATTCTGTGGTGGAGAGTGTCTGAAAGGTGCTTATGTCCCCAAAGCAAAGAGTTTAGACTATTCTGTGAAAGAGGGTTTGATTGCTAATCTTAGGGTAAAGTAATTAAAATATTAGGATACAGGAGTGCTAGAGCTAGAATTCATTCCACTTAAAAGTAGCAGTCCTGAAGCAACTTCCACTTCTTTTTTTGGCCACAAAAATTAGTATTTCACATTTATATGACTGAATGAGCACATTATGTAATTTAGAAAATGGATTCTGTGATAAAAATTTTGTTTGCTCCAAGGTTCTATGCTGTGTTCTAGATAGGCAAATTTTCCAGATAGCTGTATTTCATATTTCGTCTTGCTCTGTTACCCAGACACTCCTGGGCTCAAGTAATCCTCCTACCTCAGCTTCTTGTGTAACTGAGACTACAGGTGATCACACTGTGCCCAGCCTGTTATTATATTCAGAATTAATGGTACTCTCATAGAAAAGTTCACTTAAGATCATTAATAACAGTTAAAAACTGATCTACTTCAGTTATATTGTACAAAATTCTTATATTTTAACAGCAATTTCTACAGATCCATATTTAATAATATACTCTTTTGTTTAAAAATTTTGGTACTTTTTTATATAACTTTTGAACCTTTGTTAAACAACTATTTTATGAATGCCTCTTACATGCTAAATTCTGTTCTAAGTGCTGGGAGCAGTGAACAAAACAAAAGTTACTGCCTTTATGGAGCTTTATTTTCATGAAGTGGAGTGTACATGGAATATTATTGATAATCTTTTTCTAAAGCAAATAAAATAATTGGAAAGTCTTATCAATTTAATATTTGTGTATAATTTTTGATATTCTGAAACTTGCCTTTAAACTGTATTCCCTTTTTAGTTTTTCAACACATGTCCTGGTAATGAACAACTTAATATAGAAAACCCTTCATTTACATCAACCCCTATTTGTGGGCAGAAAGTTCTCATTACAACTCCTCTTCAGAAGGAAACAACTCCCAAAGATCAAAAGGAAAATGTCGGGTAAGTAGATACTGAATAATTGTATTAGAGAAAATGAGAAGTAAAACATCAAGGGTAGATTAGGTTTTTGTCCAAATACTTAGCATGTATTATAATCACTATCCATGCAAGACTTAGAACTTTTATGAAGTCATAACCTAATATTTTATCCCTAGGACACTGGAAACCTGCTAAATGTAGTGTGAAAGTTTGATTGCAAGCAAAGCAACCTTCTAAATACTCTTTTCTGACATTAGTCCTTTTTTTCCCTCATTTTAAGATGATTGATTGGAATAATAATTACTTTAGGCAACCTTTTTTTTTTGGTGTGCATCTCTTTTATTATGTTACAATAATCAAATACTACTAAAGATATACATTTGAGAAAAGTGTCACAATGATATTCTATAAAAGAATTCCTTTAAAGAGAGTCCATCCTGACAGCTATATCAACTACATTGTCTTAAGTGATTGTCAGGACCACACTTCTCGAAATTAAGACAATTTATGTAGTGCTCTTGAGTTTTCCTCTCCATCTGCTCACTTCTTCCACCTAGTCCTACCAAGACTGGGCTAGGTTTTTTTTTTTTTTTTTTTTTTTGGTACTAGGGATTGAACTCAGGGGCACTCTGAGCCACATCCCCAGCCCTATTTTGTATTTTATTTAGAGACAGGGTCTCACTGAGTTTCTTAGTGCCTCACTTTTGCTGAGGTTGGCTTTGAACTCTCAATCTTCCTGTCTCAGCCTCCCGAGCTGCTGGGATTATAAGCATTTACCACTGTACCCAGCAAGGCTAGGAAGAAAATAATTTAGGAAAAAAAATGCACACATTCTCAAACAGACTCAAAAATCTGGGTGTAAATTATTTTTTAAAAATTTTAAAGCAAGATATTTAATCTAATATTTAAGTTTTCACAAATTATAATAGAAAATTCTATTTATGCATAGTTATAATGAACTATCTTTTCATTTTCATGCTGATAGTCAACCTAAAAAGTAAAATTTTTACATTAAATTTTTATATTTAATGGATTTCTCTGTTTAAATTCTATTAGAGTCCTTTTGTGGAAAACTAAATCTATAATATTCTGTTTAATGTTGAGATGAACACACTTAAAAGCAAACAGGGAGAAGATGAGCAATACCTCAGGATTTGTAGACATCAGCCTATGAGCAAAACATAGTATATAAATACTGACAATTAGAGTCAGCTATTCCAGGAAAATAGCAATACTGCATTTAAAAATATAACTACTCTTGTCTTTATATATAGCTCAAATTTGTTTTTGTTGTTTTTATTGTTTATGTTTCATTTTTAAAATTTCATTTTAAAAATTTTTAAATTCTTTTTAGATATACATGACAGTAGAATGTATTTTGACATATAAACATAGAGTATAACTTCCCATTTTATGGTTGTACATGATGTAGAATTACACTGGTCATGTATGAACATAGGAAAGTTATGTGAATCATTCTATTGTTTTCCCTATTCCCATCCTCCTTCCCTTCCCTTCAATCTCCTTTGTCTAATCCATTGAATTTATGTTCTTCCTTCCACTCCACTTGTTGTGTGTTAACTGCCACATATCCCAGAGAACATTCGGCCTTTGATTTTTTGGGATTGGTTTATTTCACTTAGCATGATATTCTCCAGTTCTATTTATTTGCTGGCAAATGCCATAATTTTATTCTTCTTTATGGATGAGTAATATTCCATTGTGTATATATACCACATTTTCTTTATCCATTCATCTGTTGAAGGGCACCTAGGCTAGTTCCACAGTTTAGCAATTGTCAGTTGAGCTGCTTTAAACATTGATGTGGCTGTATCAATATAATATGCGGATTTTAAGTCCTTTGGGTATACACCCAGGAATGGATAACAGGGTCAAATGGTGGTTGCATTCAAGTTTTCTGAGGAATCTCCATACTGCTTTCCAGAGTGGTTGTACCAATTTGCAGCAATGTATGATTGTACTTTTTTCCCCACATCCTCACTAACATTTATTGTTACTTGTATTCTTGATAATTGCTATCCTGAATGAAGTGAGATGAAATCTTAGTGAAGCTTTAATTTTCATTTCTCTTAATGCTAGAAATGTTGAACATTTTTCGTATATTTGTTGACTAATCATATTTCTTTCTCTGTGAAGTGCATGCTCAGTTCCCTTGCCCATTTATTGATTGGGTTATTTATTTATTTATTTATTTATTTTGTGTGTGTTTGTGTGTGTGTGTGTGTGAGAGAAGTTTTTTGAGTTCTTCTATATCCTGGAGATTAATGCTCTATCTGAGGTGTAGGTGGCAGAGATTTTCTCCCATTCTTTAGGCTGTGTCTTCACATTCTTGATTGTTTCTTTTGCTGTGAAGAAGCTTTTTAGTTTTATACCATTTATTGATTCTTGATTTTATTTCTTGCACTTTCTTAGGAGTCTTATTGAGAAATTTGGATCTGAAGCTGATATAATGGAGAGTTGGGCCTACTTTTTCTTCTAGTAGGTGTAGGGTCTTTGATCTAATGCCTAGGTTCTTGATCCACTCTGAGTTTGAATTTTGTGCAGGGTGAGAGATGAGGGTTTAATTTCATTTTGCTACATATGGATTTCCAGTTTTCCCAGCACCATTTGTTGAAGAGGCTATCTTTTCTTCAATGTATGTTTATGGTGCCTTTGTCTAGTATGAGAAAACTGTATTTGTTTGTTTATTTATTTTTTGGGGGGTACTGGGGATTGAACTCAGGGGCACTCAGCTACTGAGCCACATCCTCATCCCTATTTTGTATTTATTATTTAGAGACAGGGTCTCACTGAGTTGCTTAGCCCCTCACTTTTGCTGAGGCTGGCTTGAATTCACGATTCTTCTGCCTCAGTCTCCTGAGCTGCTGGGATTACAGGTGTGTGCCACTGCACCTGGCAAGATAACTGTATTTATATGGGTTTATCTTTGTGCCTTTTATTCTATACCATTGGTCTTCAAGTCTGTTTTTGTGCCAATACCATACCATTTTGTTACTATAGCTTTGCAGTATAATTTAAATTCTGGTATTGTAATAAGGCAACCATTCTTTAGCCTTAGAACATCTAAATAAAGCATATGCATATGCAAGGAAAGTGTACCCTATGCCTTTTTGACTGTAGTATCAATAACATAAATCTCTACATGGTTGAATAGGTTTAGAACACCTACTATTAGAAGATCTATATTGGGTACCACACCAAGAACTCCTACCCCTTTTAAGAATGCACTTGCTGCTCAGGAGAAAAAATATGGACCTCTTAAAATTGTGGTATGTATACTCTTTATTTTTAAGAATTTTTCTAATTTTAATAAAACAAACTGATTTTATCACTTTGATTTTTAATCAAAAAGATGCTCACTGAAACTGAAACAAAAACTTGAATTTGTTAGTCTTTTTCCTTGACCAGTAAATAACTTTTGCTTGGATTATTTTTAAGTTTTACTTTCTTTGGGTCATCTAGAGAAAGCAAAACAGTTGTCAGTGGAACTTTTTTCTTAATAGTAAAATGTACATTTAATAGTTTTACTAGCATTACTTTCATATACTCAGGTACTTAAAATAGTATCTAGGAAACTGAATGATCAGGGTACCTCTCTGAGGCTCAGTTTTCACTTCTATACCCAGGAGATCATAAAGTACATCCCAGATTTTTATGGTGAAGTTGAAAGAGACAACAGAAATAAATTGACTTGACTTGAGTTTCAAAGTAATATGTACTTAGTTGCTATTATTATTTTTACAGTAGTAGTAGTAGTAGTATACAGATTGATTTGGGAAGTATTCTAGTTTTCAGTGTTCTCATAAATGATGTCACCTTTGAAATAATGTAGAAAAACTATGGACATTTTAGGCTGATACAGATTTTTTATAAAGTTACTAGAAATAAAATGTAATTTAAAAAATATCAATTACTTCCAGGTTACTTTAGTTAAATTTTTAGTCACTTTTTGGGTGGATTCATTACTAAGTTAATATTATTATTATTATTATTTTGCCTCTCTATCTTTATTTTTTTATTTATTTTTATGTGGTGCTGAGGATGGAACCCAGGGTCTCACACGTGAGAGGGGAGTGCTCTGCCGCTGAGCCACAACCCCAGTCCTAATATTATTTTTAAATAATTGTTTTCGCCATTAAACTGATTAATTAATTTATATATTTATAGGCAATAGGAGAAAATTATGCTAATAATGTAAAAGTTTAAAAGATAGGTGTTCTATATGTAGGGAGAAAAATGAATTGTTAGCAACAACTTTAAAAAACCCTTTTAAAAACAATTTAGTCCCAGCCACTTGCCTTCTTGGAAGAAGATATTCGAGAAGTTTTAAAAGAAGAAACTGGAACAGATATATTCCTCAAAGAGGAAGATGAACCTGCTTATAAAAGTTGCAAACAAGAGGTAATATTTTAGTATTATTGTAAATAAAAGCTTTATCATGTTCAAGTGACTTGGCTATGATGCTTTTTTGTAAATTATTCATTCTAGCATACTGCTTCTGTGAAGAAAGTCAGAAAGTCACTAATCTTAGATAATTGGGAAAAAGAAGAACCAGGCACTCAACTGTTGACTGAGGACATTTCAGAGATGCAGGTTTGTAAAAATTAATATATTTTTTAAGTGATTGTTTTAAGTCCTAGTGTTTCTAGTTTTATTTTTTGGTCAGTTAGAGAGTCATATAGTTTCCTTTGGTATCATTCTGCCTAATGCAAAGAGAAATTATTAACTGTAAAGAATATTTTATTTGCTTCTTTGTTTTTTCATACTTGTTTCATTTTGAGAGGAGTTAGTTTCTCATGTATGAATGTCAAAAAATGGTAATTTGCAAAACTTTCAGTATTTATCTTTGGTTCATTCCCAAAATATTTAATATTGCCATATTACTAGACAGTGCATTGGAACCAAATGCTTTCTTGGAGGGAAATGAACAGGGCTTCCATTACCACTTACTCAGTAGTCCCTCTGTTTGTCTCCATTTTTGAATTAGTTATTTTATTTTCTTCTTTCTTTTTTCTCTTAGTCAGAAAATATATTTACAACATCTTTATTAATGATACCATTATTGGAAATACATGACAATAGGTGCAACTTGACTCCTGAAAAACAAGATATAAATTCAACCAACAAAACATATACACTTACTAGAAAGAAACCAAACTCTAACACTTCCAAAGGTGTCACATTGGAAAAGAATCTTCAGGTATGGATTTCTAAATTTCTTTAGTGATTTTTGTTATTGTTTATTCAATAATCACTCTAGACTTACTGATCACAAATACTTTTTCTTTTAAATTAGAAATTGACGATAACAGTACCTAAACATTCATCATTATTTTATCACTCAAAGTAGATTTGGGTTTGAGAGACTCATTCATCAGGGTACATATTAACCATACAACTGGAGTTGTATCCAAAGATGCTTGATGATTTCTTAAGTAGTATTTCTTTTTTAAACTAAAGATACCTAAATCCATTTCTGGCACCTCTTCTCCTTTAATAAATATGAATAGTCTTAATTGCTGTCCTGAAAGAGTAAGTGGTTGGAAGCAGTATCAGCATGCTTTTATTGCTATAATGGTTCCCAGTAAAGTTTTTGGCTCAGAAATAGTGAAATAAAATCCTTGTATCTGTTGTTATGTGGCCAATATATTGCTGCAAATAAAGGCTGAAATTTTTTTACTATGTTATCTTAAGAGCTTACTCCACAGAATGTAAGAATATAAGTTAATAGAAGAGGAGGGTTTCTTCTTTATGCCGTAACAATTGCAGCCTAGTATTCCTGACATTTAAGCATTACTTGAAAGTGTCATTGGCAGTCAGATATGGTCACCTCCCATTTGTCTTGAGCTACTGCTTCAAAGAGATATGTAGCACTCTTTTTTTTTTCTTTCCACATTTTTATTGGGGCATTATAGTTGTACATAATGATGAGACTTATTGTTACAGATTCATACATACGTAAAGTATAACAATATAATTTGGCCAATATCACTCCCCATCATTTCCCTGTTCCTTCCCTCTTCTCATTCCCTGATCCTTTTTCCTCTACTGGTCATCCTTTTATTTTCATTTGATCCCCACCCTCCACCTTTCTTTTTCTTTCTCCTCTCTAGCTTCCACATATGAGAGAAAACATGATCATTGACTTTTGAGTTTGGCTTATTACCACTTAACATATGGTCTCAAGTTCCATCCATTTTCCTGCAAATGACATTTCATTTTTCTTTATGGCTTAATAAAACTCCATTTTATGTATATATACCACATTTTCTTTATTCATTCATCTATTGATGGACACTTAGGCTGGTTCCATAGGTTGGCTATTGTGAATTGTGCTGTTATAAACATGAATAAGCATGTATCACTATAGTATGATGACTTTAATTCTTTTGGACAAATACTAAGGAGCAGTATAGATGGGTCATATAATGGTTCTGTTTTTAGTCTTTTGAGGAACTGCTATACTGATTTCCATAGTGGTTGTACTAATTTATAATCTCACCAATAGTGTAAAAGTGTTCTTTTTTCTCCACATCCTCTCCAGAATTTATTATTGTTTGTATTTTTGATGACTGCCATTCTGACTGGTATGAGAAGAAATTTCAGTATAGTTTTAATTTGCATTCCCCTAATTACTAACAATGTTGAACATTTTTTTTCGTATATTTGTTGGCTGCTTGTATTTCTTCTTTCAGAAATGTCTGTTTAATTCATTTATTAATTGGGTTACTTAGGGGGTTTGGGGGCATTTATTGAGTTCTTCATATATTCTGTATATTAAGCCTCTGTCAGACAAGTAGCTAGCAAAGATTTTCTCCAATTCTGTAGGTTCTATCTTCACATTCCTAACTGTTTCCTTTGCTGTGCAGAAACTTTTCAATTTGATGCCATCCCATTTATTAACTCTTGGCATTTTTTCCTGAGCTTTAGGCTTCCTATTGAGAAATTCATTGTCTGTGCCTATATGGAGGCATGTTGACCCTGAGTTTTCTTCTAAGAGTTGCATAATTTCTGGCCTTATTCCAAGATCTTTGATCCATTTTGAGTTGATTTTTGTGTAGCACATTCTCTTAATCCCAATGTTTAATTTACATAGAACCTTTTGGAAAAGTTCATTATATACTAGATCCTACCTAAAATGTAGTAATCTTTATTCTTTAAATGGGAAGAAAACAAATCAAACTTGACTTTGTGTGATGAATGTATTCACTAATTTGTAAGACATAAAACATTCTTGGTTCATTTTTTGACATTACATCCTCTCTTTAAATCTTTTTTTTTTTTTTGTGGTGGGTGGTGGTGATATAACCCAAGGCTCACCCATGTTGGTCTATAACCCCCTATTTTTAAAATTTTTGCAAAAGTTGGAAGCAATAAATATTTAATATTTCTTTCCATGTTGAGACTCATTTGATTTTGGAGGAGCTGTTGGGGAAAAAAACTTTTATACTACCTCCATAGGCCTATAAGCAATATGGATAGTTAAAATAATTGACTTTTAAAAAATTGATTATAAATATTTTCTAGGTATTTTTAAAATATCTTATCAAAACATTTTATAGTAATGACTTATAAAATACCTGATCAATTAAAATAATTAATTTTTAAAAGTCTAATCATAGAGTAGGTATGGATATTATTTTAGTACTTTTGTTGTTTTTTTCTTCCTAGTCAAATTGTGAATGGGAAACAGTGGTTTATGGGAAGACAGAAGACCAGCTTATCATGACTGAACAAGCAAGAAGATATCTGAGTACTTACACAGCTACCAGCAGCACTTCAAGAGCTCTAATACTGTAATTGTTACTAAAACTGATGAAATGCTCCATTCCCTTACTGTATTCCATACTAAATTAGGTTGCAGTGAACTTTTTCTCAATTAATTACTTCTAAAGTTTTAATATAGCCTTAAAACAGTTAGCATCTTTTTTCTATACTGGGTAGGCAAAATGCTAATAGGCTCTTCTGGTAGTGGAAAAGAAAAAAAAAAAAAGCTAATAAGCCACTTACGTAAGGAGTGGGTAATTTCATTGTTTATTTTTTTTTTTAAGAGATGGGATTTTTAAAATATTATTTTTAAAGAACAAGATGGGAAAATAAGAATGTTCATGGATATTTCAGAAGTAAATTCTCACATATTTTCTTTACAAGATGTATGTTGCTATTCTCTTGAGGCTGCAGTTTTGTTATAGACAGGTATATTAGTACATATAATCTCTGAAATTAGCCAAGGGAAGCACACATGGTTTTATGAAGTATTTTTGTCCATGTGCTGATTAACTTATGTTACCATTTTAAAAAGAAACACAGTGAAAATAAGTCTAAAGAAAGATAGAAAGTTGCACTACTAATTTTTGGTATTTTTCAGAAACAGTAAAATTAACTACAGTGTTAAGTGTATTTATTTGAGCATAGTACTAAAGACAAGAAGCATTGAAAAGGTTTTTTCCTTATTAGTAAAGAGTCAGTATTTTCTTCATAAATCTCAGAAGAGCTGAGAGTTTTGTTGAATGTATTGTACAGTATGTAGGAACAGGAAAATTTTGTAAATTGGACAGATGTCTGTTTTTATAATTTATTTTCATTTTTAAAGCTTAAATGTAGATATTTATACATATACAGGGTGTCTAGAAGCCAGTGTTGTTTCCTGTCATTACAGCTAACATAGAAAAGAACAATTTTGACCTTTAAGTATGAAACAGTAAGTTATATCTGCAAAGAATACAATATCTATACTGTATGTCACATCTACCTAAATATTGCACTATGCCCTTTAAATCATGTTGGTTATAAAATAGTTCTAAAAATGTACTAAATAATAATTTAATATTTTCTTTTTAAATTATATCGGGGGTCATATAAATTAATCTGGTGATTTGTATATGTGTTGAAATTTTTGCATTTTGTTTAAAAATAATATGGTACCTTGGTCCCTAAAGACAGTCTGCACTTAGAAGTTTATTATATTTACTCAATGTTTCAGAAGTAGAGAACATTATCTTTTATTTATAAAAATATTTTGTCCTTTTATAAATGTTTTGTGTTTCTCTACAGGTTACAACAGTTGCTTCAGTTGCCTGTTTTAGGTGTTTGCACTTATTTTATTTCTTCTTGAAAGAATGTCTTTATTTGCTTTTGTGGTAGAGATTTTATGTAATTTTTTTGAAACATATAATGGTGTGCTGTCAATTTAAACACTGACAGGCAAATAGAATTGTACACTGTAGTTTGAATTATTTATAATTGACACACTCTCTCCCTCTCCACTCCTGATGTATGCTGCTATAGAAAATAGCAGAATCGGCTTGCTGCTATGAGAGATGGAAAGAGCGACCACCACTTGCACTGTGTGAAAAGATAAAAAGCAAATGATGGCAAGTTCTCAAGTTAACTTAATGGAATCAACCATTACCAGGCAAATTCTTATCAATACCAAAATATTACTATGCCTTAAAAACAAAACAAAACAACTTAGGATTTTCTGATCTGTTTTTTATGTTAATGGAAATGGAAATACTAAGTATTTTAATGCGTAGCTCTTGAACAGTAGACCTAAAGGGTTTTAAGCTATTTAAATCCACTTGCTAGTTTTGCATACTATATGTTGGTGAGAAGTAAAGAATATGTATGGTACTAAGATTATGCTTTGTTGATAACAAATAGATAAACCAATTTGAATCTTCTTAGCATGTTTGTTAAGTGTGTTGATTGCTTTCTAATTAATGAACTTCTCACAGAAATTTCACTTTGGAAAACCAATGATTGTGACAAAATCATACTGGATCATTTCAGTTACCTTAAACTGATAGCATATAATGGCCTTTTGTTTTTTGTGTTTTTTTTTTTTTTTAATGTAGCCCTTGGCTGGATTGGATATACATAGTCTCTAAACCACCAAAGAATAATATCTTAGAAGAGCTATATTTTTTAAAGTCTAATTTTTCTTGAGCATTAAATTATCCCAAATGGAAATATATTGTGGATAACCCTGGGCTTGTTGGACATAGTACATTTTTGGATTGGTATTGGTTGAATTCTCCAGTTAACTGCTTTGTTGCTTTTTTGCAAGATTTTCAATTGTAAATATGTCAGGCATCTTAATTCTCCCTTTTTACGGTTGTGTTCATTTAAATTTCTTTCATTGTTATAAAAATGCCAGACATACATGTAGCAGCCATACTTTCCTGGAAACTGACTACACATATATCATATAATATATATACAGCATTTTGTTGTAAGGCTTTCACATTAATACAGCAATTACCCTGACTAAATTGAGCTTTTTTGATATATGAAGAAATTTTCTATTGTAAGAGAATCTTGCATACAGTGTTGACATATATTAACATCCAAATAAAGCATCTGTGTACAAGCTGACTTGGCCTTGCTCATTTCACTTCCATTTTTTGTCTTATGGACTTGATACACTTAAGGACTGAACCCAACATTCTGTTCTTAGACCTTTTTTCCTCTTAGAATTCCCTTTACAGGTGATGTTTATCTATTAATGCAACATGGCCTCTTCACTGCGCCTCATTCAGGACCATATTTTCAACTGCTTTGTAGATACTTCCACATGAATCTTCTATCGGCACCTCAAGTATGACATGTCCAAAGCAGATTTCCTTTTTCCCAACTTGGGCCTGTCCTTCCTTTGTTCTGTCTCTAAATGGTATTGCTTTCCCTTCCTTCAGCCCCTGAATAATCTTCTATCTTTTCTTCACCTCTTTACTGAAATCTGTTGTAATCTCTCAGCTTGCAAAATGCCGCTATTCTAATTCCATTTCTTTCTCTTACACTTGGATTGGATTATTGCACCAATCTCTCTGAGTTTTATTCTATAGAAATATCAAGAAACTCTGTGGTGACATCAGGGTGTTTTCTCTGGGAAAGGCCACTTGGTTACCCTATCAAGTCTTGGCAGCATCACATACCTTGGTGAATTCACTGTTGCTTTAATTTAGCCTTCTAGTCTCAGAAATCTGTTGGAATTAACTCACTGAAAAATGAGTTTACCCCACAGTAGAAGGCTAATATCAAGTTTATAAGACTAATACATGTAACATGAATGCCAGTCTATTAATTATCAGTATGAAATTAAACTGCTGAGAGGACTAGATACATTCTCATATATAAGCAGAAAGAAATATAAAAAGCACATAGATATGATCACATCTCATTTAAAAACCATTCACAGATCTCTATTGCCTAAATAATAATTCTTCACTCTCTTAATCTGGACCTGGCTAGTCTTTCCACATTACATTTTTCATCATGTTGTTGTCTTGGATCCCCAAGACAAGTGCATCTACCTCTCTTCATGCCTGAGTTTTTTATATTCTCTCTGCATGACTGCTTTTCTTTCTTTCTAGACTGTTAAAATCTCATTTGTCCTTTAAGGCACAAGGCTGTGAATCATTTCCTGATATTCTAGCGCTTCCATAAAACTTTTCCACTAAATTTATATTTTTGAAGAGTAGGAATTGCTATTTATAACTATTTCATTTCTGTGTCTATCATGGTGCTTAGAAAATCTAGCTAAAAGTTAAACTGAAAAAAAATGTTAAAAATTAGTCTTGATTGTTGGAGAATATTAAAGATACTTATATGACAAATAGCTTTTGTTTTTTAGTTTCTGTGAGAAGGCAATTTTGCTTTATAGTTAAGAAACTATTAACTTTCTTAAAATTTTTTAGCTCATTTTTATAACTCTGTAATTTTCTGTTTGACTTATCTAGTTATACAAAGACCTGCCAGCTAATTGGACCTTTAATTTCAATGTAAAACATGATACTATTTGAAGAGATACTTCTTACTTTGATTAGTGAAATTTATTATAGTAAGTAGAAGTGGGTAAATTAGACCAAGTAAAATTCCATTGGAATATTATACTTTTTCCAGTCCTTTTTAAAAATAAGTACAGAGTGGTCAAGAATATTTGAAATATATTAGAAAACCAAGACAACGTGTACTTGGAAAAAAAATTATTTGTGACCAATGTGCTAGGAAGAGTACTTTTGAAGCTTTCAGTATCTTGACATAAGTACATTAAAAACTGTTGAGTTTGAGGCAAATGTGGTATCAAAAGTAGTGTAATGTATGGCTCTTATTTCTGAAATTCTCTGACCTGGTGTGCTTATTCAAGTTCCAAGTACAGAATGTGCTAGATTTGGTTAGATTTTTCCTGGCCAGCACAGGGTTTGAACTACTGGGATTTTGCCAACCATAGCTCAAAGGTTTGAGCAGATGCTGACATAATTTCCCAAGTCCTAATACAGTTAGCACTTATTTATTTATTCAACTTAACTGGGCACTTACTATACCCTGGGCTAGTTACTGAGGATACTTTGGTAAATAGTACCCTTCTCTTAAGCTGACATTCTAAAAGAGGAAATGACAGAAATATTTCTTCTTTGGCCATAAAAAAATTAGATGTATCAAGTAGCCAAGTTTCCTATTACATGTGTATTGCTCATTTATGTGTAGAGAAAAGGTTAACTCTGCCCAGAAAGGGTGGATATTTTTCCTTCCAGTGTGCAGAATTGGTTGTTAGGTGGTTCACTGAAGACTTGTGCAGACTAAAAATTTGAGTTCATTGTAGCAGCTACAGCCATATGTCAGCCTCTACGCTAAACCCTTTACATACACAATCTCATATAATCCTCACAATAATTCTATGAGGTAAACACTGTTGTAATCCACTTTTATGGATGTGGAAATAGGCTTAGGTTAAGAGGCTTATCCAAACTCACAATAAAATGCTGACTCTAGAATTCAATCATTTGAGGCTTGGGTTGATT